AAAAGAAAAGAAAAAATATATCCTCGAAAAATAAATATACCTGCTTCAAGTTCTGTTTATTGTGTATATGTTTGATCGTTTTCCTGTATATTGGGAGTAATATGACGTTCGAATTTAAATTTGCAATATTTTCGCAGCAGCACAATGATACACGTACCTTTACCTTTTTCAGTTACGGGTAAATGTAGGAACATATTTTCTCACCTAATATGGTAACAGAATTTTAAAATGCAAGTCAAATGAATGCAATTGATATGGTAGGCTTGCAAATATAAGGCATGCTTGTTTATGAAATAATTTGCACCACATTTTTTTTTATACTCAAAATCTAACTCAACTTTAATTCAAACTTACTATCCTTAATATTTATATAATTAAATATTATAAACCAATCATTCTTACATATCACATCTAACTTTTTTTTTTTGGTAGCCAGCCACGGTATCCGGAGCTATGCCCCGACTAATCCGTTGGTCGACCCGGGTCGCACACTTGGCGGTGGTGGGTGAGTCTCCCAACAAGGGTTTTCTGCATCCACAAGGACTCGAACCCGAGACCTTGCTTAAGCGACATCAAGCTGCTTCCCACTTGAGCCAACCCCTGTTGGTCATATCACATCAATTTTAATTCATTATTCATGCACTCACATAATTTTAACTACATATCATTTGTAATCATTTATATCCTATTTTTACATCAAATCAATAATAATCATAATATCAAATATTATTTTAATATATTATTAAAATCTCACTAATATTTAACCATACCTCCTTTTTCAAATTTAACTCTTCTTAATTAAAATAACTTATTTTGAGTAAATTATTTTATAAACAAACACGCCCCATAATGTTTCCTTCGTAACTCCGCAATAATTTTCAATTAGTGGGATAAACCTAAAAATTGACCCTAATTAAATGGCCTTTCTTTATTTACAAATTGGTGGGCCACATTCATGGGTTTTGTCTCATGTCTTTGTCATGATTTGCAGTGCTACTACCGAGTGCCCTGACACACCTAGCAAGGTGTGCCAAGACAGTTTAAAATGAACATGTTACTTTATAAAATGAACATGTGTAAACATGTTTACACATGTTTACACATGTTCATTTTATAAAGTAACATGTTCATTTTAAAAAAGCGGTGCACCTAATTATTTGCGCATTATTCGTTACTTGTTGGTTTTGTCTTTCAATAATTAATTATTAGTCATGGGTTTGGTCTCATGTCTTTGTCATTATTGGTTACTTATTGGTTTTTTTTCCCCAAACTAATTCATTTTATAAAACATGTCATTACATTTGGCTCAATAGTCGGAATAGGAAGACTACCCATGACAGTCTAGATATCACAATGCACACTACAAACGAATAAGAAAAATAAAAGCTCCTTACAGGAGAATACCCAACTCCCCACAGGAGAATACAGAAACTCTCCACAAGAGAATAACACAAACTTCCAGAGGAGAAAAAAAGGCTCATCCAAAAAAGGAGATAACAAAACACAATACACAAAACAAAACACAACAAAACACCACAATGACACAAACCACAAAGACTAAAACAAAAACAAAAGCTAAACTAGAGCCCTCCTCTACAGCTAACAAGCAGCACCGCAGCCCGCCACGCCAGTAACCACCCAGAGTTGTCAACCCACATACTGAGACTCGGTCTGAAACACCGAGCCTGAAACTGCAACAAAGGCCTAACAATGCTCAATCCCCAAACCCGCAGTCCCACGAGGCTGGCATCCATAATCCAGAACACCAAAGCAGATCCCACACTTCTTCCTTTGAAAGCCGAAATCTAACAACCTTTAAGCCACCAACCAGCCCCACCGACTGAGCCATCGTCCAACACCAGGATCGACGAACAGCCATGGGTGTCGAGCACCACCAAGCCCGAACCCATCGCCCACAACCAGCAAATCTGGCCCACAACCGCAAATCACGAAACCTCAACTCGCCGGAGCCCACCCCCAACACCTGGGAGACGGACAACCAAGGAAGAAGGGGGAACTTACCTCGATGCGGACCACCGACCGATACTAAACCGGAAAGGACCCCTTCCCTCCCCTCCCGACCCAACCAAAACTTGGAGCGCCACCACAGGAGCGGCAATTAGGGCTGAGCATAGGACTCGGAGAATTCTGAACCTTTCCAAAAACCGAACTGAAATCACTCCGAATCGAAAAATAACCGTTTGACCGTTTGACTTTATCCGAACCAAACCGAACCGAAAAAATAATTAGTACGGTTCTGGAAATTTCACAAATATCCGTACCGAGAACCGAACCGAATTGTCCAGTACCGTCCCGAACCGAAGAACCGAATTATAACATTAGATGTGTTATTAGTATATTTTATGTCACCTTTAATCCTATATAATACAGTAATAATAATTATTAACCTTCACTTAACTTTCATGCTTAGTAATACTTGATCTACAATCGAATTTTTCTGTTATAAAATAATTATTTAAAATAATATGAAAGGTTAAAGAATATTTTTGTTAGAAAAAATTTTATATTTTGTTTGAATTTTATATTTTGAATATTAGTTGCATAAATTTAGTCTTAACTAAAACTTAGAGTTACTTATAAAGTTGATTTCAGAATATATATAATATGAGAAAGTATTGATGAATGTTGGTTTTATTAAAGCATATAAAAATTAAATAACTAAAATTTAGAGTTACTTCTAAAACTGATTTCAAAATAAAATCTTCAATATGATGAATTATTGATGAATGTTGTTTTTTAAAGCATATAAAAATTAAAATATAACTACATAGTCATTAAAAAAAATCTAAAAAAATAAGAAATCTCCGAAGATCCGAACGAAACCATACCGAACCGAACCGTCCCAATAGCCCCGAATACCGAACCGAACCGAACCAAAAAATAAAAATCTCTGAATCGAACTGAACCGACTTTTTGGTACAGTTCTGGAGATCGATTTTTGGGATCTCCGAACTTTGGTACGGTTCTGGAGATTTATCAATCTCCGAACCGTACCGACCCACGCTCACCCCTAGCGGCAATTAAAAGACGGCGAAATCCCCATGGCCGTGAGGTCCCCAAATCAATGGCCGATCTTGAGGGAGCACTTGCCGGCGGTGATGGAAGCGCGGCGGCGCGACATGCCCCGCTGGAGAGGAGGCGGCCGAAGACGAAAGGAATTAGGGTTGGAGATTAACTTTTAGAGAGAGAAAATTATAGATAGGCGAGAGCTGGTTCGATTTGGGTGATTATATTATTGGTTTCGTCTTTCAACAATTAATTATTAGTACATAGTCCGTGCGATGCACGTGACACATATATTAAATGAGTAATTTCTACAGTGTTTATACGTTCAGACAAAAAACAATAGGGGTGATCATCAATTTTCCAGTTTTTTCGTCCAATAATGTTTATTTTAACCATAACGTTGACATGTTAATTAATATATTATTCTGCTAACAAGTTATAATAATATAAATTTGATTTTACAATATATATTTATTCATCGATATAAGTATACTTATTCTTGTTTACCATATAATACTCAATTGATATTTTATTATAGCCTTTTGTAGTCATATAATGTCATTAATATTACTTATAAAGGTTATAGAAGTAGTCTTCTTCTTCTTAGTTTATGTAATAAAATTTAAAATAAAATTTTGAAATTTAAATTTAAATAAAATTTTGTGTATAAATATTTACAAAATATGCACACATGTTGTATAGAATTTAATTTTCTCTTAATAGCTAAAGATAAATTGATTTAACAAATTGCCAAATAATAAACCCTTACATGATCAAGAGATTTTCTAATTTGCATCCTAAGACTGTATATATTTTACAATAAATTCACTATGGAAACAAATAAAAAAATGATAAAATTATCAAGGTTGACAATACTGCAAATAAATCATATGTTGAAATTGTAAAGAATAGTTAATATATTTCAATTTTATTATCTAGCCATTAGTAAATCATTTAATAATGTAATCATTATCTCTTAAATGGTAAACTATTTTAATTTGAAAAATAAAATATTTTTGTATATAATTAAATAAAGGTTAAAATCTATTATAAAAAACTATTAAATCACCAACTTGATCTCGCCTAATTAGTTAGAAAAGAAAAATTATTTAACATGTTACGATTGCTTATAAACATTTTAGGGTGAAAGTCAAAATTTGTGAAAAAAAAATAATAATAATATGTTTAAGAACTAAAATTTGTTTTCATGTTTATGTTGACCAAAATATTATTATTATCAACACGAATCACGAAAAAAATCAAATTATAGTTTATTATAACGAATATCAATAAAATTATTGCAGATATTAATAAAATTATTCAAGAAAAAAATCTTTTTTTATCATATCTGATTTAGAAATGTGTATATGAAAACAATTAATTTGTATATGACATACCTACAAAAAGATTAAGGAGGACACATAAAGAGGAATAAGAAAGTAAAATATACACAAGTTATAATAGCTTCACCGAGGTTCTAACTTCTAACAACATATCAAAAAAAAAAAAATCAAAAAGAAAATAAAAAAATAAAAAAAGAAATCTCAAGTTTGAACCACACTTGACTTGACCCCGAGTAAATTCCATGATCGAGCTTAATCAATTTCTTGGCTTTAAAACAACTTGCAATGGATGAAGCTTCTGAGTTATCAACCCGATCATATCAACATTTTCTTCTTCTCCATCCTTAAGCCTCCATTCGAAGTCCTGAACTAAACGACCTATTGTCAAGCAAGATACTACCATTGCCATTAAGGCGCCCGGGCACAGCCTTTTCCCAGCTCCAAAAGCCATCGTCTTGTGCAAATCCATCATTTCATATTTCTCGTCAAGAAATCTCTCAGGGTTCCAGCATTCAGGATTTTCCCATACTTTCTTGTCCATGTTACATCCGAAGATATTTATAGCAATCTGCAAGAAAAATTTTAACCTCAACTAGCATTCCTTCTAGACAGAAGGTGGATATATAGTAACAAGAAGCACCTTTGAGGTACCTTCACAAACTAGAAGATCAATTAGTTACCTCAGTTCCTGCTCGAATATGATATCCTCCTATTTGTGTATCTTCGTGAACATATCTCGGAGGAACTATAGGAGCTGGACTATACTTTCTCAAAGTCTCATGAAATACTGCGGACAAGAACGGAAATTCGCCTAACTTTTTCTCCATGATTTTTTCATTTCCACATACACTTTGAATTTCTCGATACAAACGATCCTATTTGCTTGTAATAATAAGAAAAATAAATCAAGATATTTCCAACCAACTTGTTAATAAATTATGTGAAGAGGAAAAAAAGTTGCAATCACCTGTCGTTCTGGATCTTTAGCAAGTTCAAACATGGCCCACTCGGTTGTGACCAAAACAGTATCGGATGATGTGAATGTGGCCTCCCATAACAGCATGAGCCTCTGTTGTTCGGATAATGTTTTTTCCTCAAATAACAAATAGTCGAGATAACAATTCACTTCCTGAGAAGAATAATAAGAGTGATTACAATAAAACCAGTCCAACAAATGATAACCTGAATTGAAATGCCGTGAATGTACCTCCCCACGGGAAATCCGTTTTTTCTGTTCGTTGATGAGTGTGGTCATCACGGCCTGCCTACGAGAATACATTCGCTGGATATTATTCTCGAAAGACTTGTTTGGTATCCATTTTAGATATGGGAAGAAATCCCTCCAGTCTACCTCAATGAGGCCTTTCATAGGGTCGACTACTAAAATTTCGAAAATATTTTGCTTAGACAATGTTATTCTAAGTTTTTCGACATATATAGATTCCACATCATGTCCAAAAACCTGTAAACAAAAACAACGTTCACTAGTTTACAAATGATCAACCAAAACTTTATTTTATCTATATCAGCATCTTATTTTATAGTTAAAAAAATCTCGTTTCATACAAAAGATTCCAGTTGGATTCAACATATAATGGGGAGCAGCCTGTAGCGGACTGACTTACTTGTTTCAATGTCAGTCCGAAAAGTTCAGACTGGAATATTTTCTGAAATTCACTATTGCCTGAGGATTCTCATTCAAACAAGCTCGTAATTGCTTCGACATGTTTTCTATCATGGCATCCCTGTGAATTTCAAATCGTTTCTGAAGATAATAAACAACGTAGAGTGAGTTGCATCTTTAGGATATAACATAATAATTTGGAGAGAAAAAGAAACCAGACGGCGCTGCTCATATAAGTACCAGCGCGTTAGATCCCAACATACTATTGAGAATATGCCCCTTGAATGTCTTATGAATATCACCATAATCACAGAGTGCAATCACGTTTTTATCACAAGAAATGATCTTTAATGCGTTTGAAAGCTTTCTTGTCGAGATTGATGAGAATCTAGTCACCATAGCCTGTTCATACATAGAAAATTCTTGTACACTCGAAGAGAGAAAGAATTATGGCTTCGTTTGGGATGGCGATAAAGAAATGAAGTTTGCCCCGGCTCACCTCCTTGGCAACATCAACAGAGTTGAGGACAACAATTGTCTTGGAGCCAGTTCGAATAGAGTATATCGGGCCATATTTCTCGGCCCACCTGATAAAAGTCTTGTAAGGTTTCTTGTCTCTCAGTTGCAGTAAATTCCCAATCACCGGTAAGCCCGGTATTTCTGCATTCAATCCACCATAGTTCTTCTTCATCCAACCACTTCATTCGATATAAGGAAATAAATGTTCTTGTTTGGTGATGAACATATACAATTGAACACATCAAAAAGCATCCTCTGAATCAGGTTTCAGTGTCACTTAAAAGAGTTGAAATTTTACAAACATTTCAACTAAACATTTCAACAAACAGGATCCGTGCATTAATTCAACTCATCCAAATAACTACAAATTTGTGTTATTTTTTTTCAATTTATCTCTCAACTTGATGAATTAACAACAAAACTAAAGCAAAAAGGGTTACCAGGTGGAGGAGTGAGGCCTGAAGATGTCTTCAATTTCCAGCTTTTCTTGAGATATCCATTGATGAGCCACAGAGTAAGCAGCCCAATAATACCAACTATTGCAACTGCAGTTGCTAGTGAAATTTGGTCTACACTTGGAATTGCATCCATTTTTGTTGGGCACAGCATGGAACACAAGAGATCAAATTGGTCTTTTTAAAATCTATTGAGGTCTCAAGACTGACTATTATTATATATACAATTATTAGAGGACCAACATGCTAAATAAATTATTTTAGTTGTTCTCCATCTCCATTTGCTATTTGTTTATTTGATTTTAGGATTTTTCTAGGTAAGTTCTACAAAAATTCCTTGAGGCTCTCTTCATTTTCTACGGGTTTGATGACTCGGTTTATGGAGCAATGCATAATTATTCACAAATAATGTATTGACACGTGTCATGCAATAAATACACATTGAACATATGTCAGTAAATAAAGTTATGGATGACTCCATAAGCCGAGCAATCTGATGGCTCCATAGCAAAACCGTCATTTTCTAAATCACATTGGCATTTTCTAAGTTACAACCATATAGGTATTGTCCTATTAGTACATTATAATTACCATTTTTGTAAACAAGAATTTAAGGTATTACCTTCTCCTATGGTTAGTTCACCTCTCCTTTCAAAGTTTGCTAGACAACCTATGGAAAAATCATTCTATTTACAAGTCAGTAGTTGGAGCATTGCAATATGCTACTATTATCAGACATCATTGAAAAACAATGATGCATACATAATATTTAGCATAACAGCCAACACATTATTGAACAACATTACAATAACATTGTCAACACACTCTTCCAACACA